TGTGTGGCCGTGTTCTGGAAATTCCAGGCCACGCAGCCCGGAAGACCCACACCAGCTTGGAAATTGCTTAGGATCTGAAGCAAGCTGAACAGCGAATGAGTTTGGAGGAATTCAGGTGTGGCTTAATGATATCTGGCTTGATAGACTGCACCGGTTCACTCTCACTGGCAATTATGTGTTTCACCAAGCACCGAGCAGCTTCATCAATGTTTATGTTTTCCTGGAAGTGGGGAGAAAAAGACAAGAAAAGGAGAAGAATGAGTTACAATAGCTGATTCCCGATGCTCTCTGGACATCTTGGGGTTGCAACTCCCAAAATTCCTAGAAGACATTACAACTCCCAGAACTCCTAGCCAACATTAGAATGGCTAGAATGTTTATGGCCAAGTCCCCAAATTACCTGCTAGCAGATATCCCCAAATATCTAACATGCTAACTCCCAGAATTCCTAGTCAGCACAACCAACTCCCCAAATTCCTGGACAACATAAGTGGTTAAGTTAGAGACTCCAATGAATGAAGTCCATCTGAAATTCATCTAAGGTTCTTCTCCTGAGCTCCATAGAGTCCCATTGTTCTAGTTCCAGGAACTCCCTAAGATTAAACTTCAACAGAAAACTGCCAAGTAACAGCAGCATGATTTTTTACAATTTTGGAGCAAGCAAACCAATAAAATATCTGCCTTAAGCCTAAATTGATACCTATGGCAGTTAACCTCTAGGCTAAAAAATCATTTTCCATGGAGCCCTTAGCCACTTTATATATATTACAGAGAGAGAATTTAAAACAGGTTCTCAGAAAAAAAAAAAAGATTACCCATACTTACTTAAGGCTGAATTTAAAGTACATCTTTAGAGTTCTACAATTCTGAATAATTTGGGACCAAGTTCATTTGAAGAATCAGTGGCATCAAGGGATCAGAAATGACCTTTTCGGTGTGACAATGTATGACATTCATTTAAAAGTCTTCTGAGTTTGTTGTTATGAAAACTATATATGATTATCAATTCTATATCAGTGAGGGTTAAGGTTAACTATGGCAGGGATAGGAAACCCCTGAATTAATACTGAACTACGATGGGTTTTGACATGATCCAGGAGGGTAATTCTTATGGCCTTACCCCATTTTTTAAATGTCTTCGTTTGGCTACTCCTAACACTCTTTCTTGTTTTCTTGTTTACTGGTTTGATTATTTCACTAGCTTTATGCTATAAATTTCAGTTGTTCAGCTTGTTTTTAATTACGTTGATTTTAACCTGACAACTTCTGCTTTTTTTTTTTTTTTTGCACTATTTGGTGAAGTTGCTAAAAAACAGAGCATGGAAAAGCATTTACATATATGCAGAGAAAGGATGCTTTGAGATTACATCAAAATTATGGAAGCATGCAGATTGCAGTGAATCAGTAATATTGATACAATATTATTTTAAGTTGTCCTCTTCTGGTCATCTATTTGGGATGCTGTAACACTGGATTTTCTCTAGACAGTATCTTTCAAATTGCTTGCAATTTTGCATGTTTACAAATTCTTGCAGGAGTGCATGGCTTAATATTAACGCTTGTGCTTCTGACAGCCAAATGCTAGTTCTCAATTAGCCACCATCTCTCTTTGGAATTTAACAATTTAGTGACTAATACTGAATGAACAGGAGGCACCAATTTGCTATCACAGAGAACAAAAGTTGATCATGAGATTTTCTGAACAGACCTGGCAAATTCCTCTGGTTGATGAGTAGTTATCTTCAAGATGCTGTGAAATGCCACTGGAGAAAATCATGTAAACCTATAAATTGCTTTTCAAGTCCAGCTGAGAATGCTAGAGAGAAAACAGAATTCCACCACTTCAGAAGTTGAGATTTAACGTCTGCTCTCAAAGGTGTTAGGCCAGTGGTAAAGAACTACTGTGCATGGAGAAGGTTCCATTTCAAATTCTCAGCATCATTAGAAAGACCTGGGGGGGGGGGCGGGGGGGGGAAACTCTGCCAGAAACTCTGGAGAATTGCTACCAGTATTAACAAGGCCACATTCCTAAGAAAAGTCAAACCTTCTATCTAGGTTTATAAACTGCAGTGACCTGAGAAGCAGGACAAATTAATACATTATCATATTAATGATGAACCGTTGCATCTGCTCATGGCTCAAAGGGGCTTAAAGCTATGTACACAGTCATCCCAACCCATTTAATTGTCACAAAGATAAACCTAAGCCAGGCTAAAGTAGGATGGCTCTTTATCCCTATATCTGTCAGCCTAGCAAGGTAGTCCAGACAGGAAGCACAACCAGATGGACTAATTCTAGTAAGTTTACATTAATAGCATCATGCAAGTCTGAAAGGGCATCTCTCCCCTATTGCCTTTACAGCCTAAGAAACTAGGGAGGGTCCCTTCTGAGATGTTTGCTGTGCCCACATTCCTGCTGTGGTGGGCTCAGCTGCCTCTTATCCGACCGTTCCCCTGGCTGTGGCTCTTCCCCCATCTCCCAAGGTCATTCCCACATACCATTACAGTATCTATAAAAAGTGGTGTACTGCACGTGTATTGGAGCCCAGAGGTTGATGCACCCAGACAAAATTGCATAGATAGAGAGAGAGAGTAGATAGATGATAGAGTAGGTAGGTAGACAGACAGACAGATAGATAGATCCCACAGGGCAATCACAA